CGAACCCGTGCTCTGTCTTCGGAGGACGTAAACCAACTGAGGATAATCGAAGAGAATCATCCCTCGTAAGTTCGTATTGCATAATCTTTATTCCTTTGTTAAAAATATATTTGTTGTTAAGTGACTGTTAAATAAACTGACTTTTTTCATTCACACCCACCCACGTCCTTACTGCTATATTAGAAGTAGAATTACAATACAACATAAATTAAAGTGTTTGCATCGTGTTCACCGGCCACCTAAACATATCACCGCTAACTAAACACTGTTATAATACAAGCTCTTTCTTCGGCGTATGCAAACTGACTGAGATCATTCGAACAGTATCCTCCCTCGAAAACTTGTATTGCATAGAAATAGAAATATTTAATTTGGCTCAGAAAATTTTCTTCTCTCGATTTTTCTTCACCCTATCATTTTCTTAATGGTATTACTACACCACCACGCTACAGATACCGATCGTGTTACTCGCACCCTACCTTTATATGAATAAGTAATTTCACAGTCGTGCAACCTGTCAATCATTCTCCTGCATCTAAAGAATTTTTGTTATATTTTACTTGAAAATCTTCCGAAGAGGTAATATTTGAGAAGGGTAAGGTGAAATGGAGAGTAGATAGATGACTCGGAGATCAGTATAGTTTAAGCCACTGCACGCAATGGCAGAAATGAATAGCTATTACAATTGGTGTATGTTCTTTCTGTCGGTGATAGGACTTTGTCCATACAGCAACAAGAAATTTCGACTCCTACAAAATGGCATCATAAGCCTCATTACTTGGGCATCCGTAATTTCCCAGGTTTGGATTATTAGACTTACTATAGGTATTAATTGATATATTTATAAAACTAATTGATACGTTGTTAAACTTTCCCTAATATCTTGACATTTTTCGAACAAAACTTGACAATATTAATATCTTTTTAAGTTTGTAGCTTTCTTCATTGTGGAGAGAAGTCTGTTTCGTCTATTAAGGATAACATCATTTATATCAATGGCAATGGTCGCACTTACAAAATATCACATAACATGGTATATGATCGAGGACGTAAGTCGCGTATAGAAATTGAATTCATGTTTACATAACATTTAATTTACATAACACTTAAAATTCAGGTGAAAGCGTTTCTAGATCAGATCAGGCGTGAATGGGAGACAAATGATGACGAGATACTGCGAATCATGCAGATCCACGCCTTTCACGGAAAACGTCTAGTAATCATTTTTGCAGGTGAGGAAAATCTTGAATATTTTGAAACTCGGAAAATGGATGTAATGTACGGATTCCGTTGATGTAATGTACGTTTTACAGGCTTTGCTTACCCTTCAGTATGTATGGTGGTACTATACCATATTTCTCCTATTATTTTGGATAAAATTTTACCACTAAATGAGTCTCGTTCAATAAAGTATCTAATAAGTGCAGAATTCTTTTTCAACAAAGAACAACATCGAATTATCAGCACTTCGTTGCTAAATTTTGGTGTGATAACTGACGTAACTGTACTTGTTGGGATGGAATCGTTTATAATCATGGTCACCTCGCATATCGCTGGACTATTTGAAGTTGCTAGGTAAGTTCGTATCTCGAATAAATAATATCATGTTATTCATAAAATTCACGCTCAACCTACATCGAATGAAACGGAGATCTTGAAAAATATTAACGAATTTTTCAAATATCAGATTAATGATTTTACTGTGTGAATCAATCGTTTTTAATGATATTTAGGTTTCTTAATCCTCAAAAGAATTAGATCTAGTTTTCCAAACCTTTCTAAAAATTCTGTGTTATTAATGTAATAGAAAAGTCTAATTGTGCACCGTAAGCGTATACATATAGGATATAAATATTTACAACCTATAGAATGTTTCCAAAGCAGTTTCTAGACGATACTCAACTTTCACAAGAGGGAAGTGTAGTAGAATCCATACACAATTTTTTGGAAGAGGTGGTACATTTTGTTTCATTATCACATACATTTTTTTATTTACTCATTTTCGTAAGTGTTAGTGTGTTTTGAACATTTCTTCATGCAACTAATAAAACGAGTAAGCTGGATTGTCCTGATTCGGACTTTGTATGCCTAAATAAATTAGTCTTATATTCTCATCATTCTGTACCACCCATTCCGCCTTTCTGACAATGCTCTAATCTATCATTTTTAGTCTTTTCTTCGAAAAAGCCGTTCTTGCAGAATCATCTGCACCATATCTACCGCGAAATTGCAGAAATAATGAAACTATCAATTACATAATTACCGGTACTACAGTACATCGAATGGCACTTCAGTAAGTATATTCTTTATATGTATATAAATTAATATAGTAAGTATATTCTTTATATGTATATATTCTTTATATGTATATACTAACCAATTTCGCTCTACGATAATTTTAATGTTTAAACCAGCTTTTTCGACTTCTTTTTAATTAACGTTTACAAAGGGGGCCTTCATTAACATTACTACATTTTTTCTAGAACAAAAATTATACAGCAAAATCACAATACAAACAATTGCCCAAAAGTTACTTACAAATAATGATTAAACAATGAATATTAATAAGATTTTTGGATACCGAATTAGTTTTGCATCTTTCCTATTATTTTAGTTACGTTTTATTATGTTCGTGCAACTTACTCTCTACATTCCACTTCTTGAATACAAAATACATGTATTTGCAAGAAAAATTGTTAGTTGTCATTACTTATACAATGATTTTAGTATATTTTTTCCGCGCAGATGTATATTGTATGATTTGATACTAATTACAAGAGATAGTTCTATAAGTAGTAATAAACAATTAATTATTAATTGTATTAATAAATTTTATCTGCAATTAATGTGAAGTATCATCTAAAGGATGATAATGCATAAGGCGTAGGAAAACCCCGCGGTGACCTCTAGCCACAACTACGCGTTTTCTGTATTCACCGCAATATTTTACTTAACTGATTAAGTATGTCTTTGAAGATTTGTACGTGATCTAAACAACCTCTGCAATATGTCGTACGCTTCCGCCATTATATTTGGTGTGATTGCCTTAAGCTCACATTTCTTCTGCGTGAGTAATTCATTCTTTCTTTTTCAAGGATATCCCGAATAAGGATTTACAAAATGTTCTATTTGTTAAAGCTGTCTCACACGGTATTTCAACCAGCAGATAGTAGAGACACAATCTTATCCGTGTTTCTAATCAATTCTACATTGGGATACATGTTTTGTATGAACTTCGCAGCTGGAAACATGATCAGCACTGCTGAAAGTATTCCTCTAACAACGTAAATGTATTCGAATGTTATTTGTACAAAATTTTTCTTGCTAGTTTTCAATATGTTTATCGTCACTTACTTATATGTTAATTATGAACGACTTCATGTTTGCATTGGTAAAAATACGTAATGTCGACAGAGGAATTGGCAATATATGTATTTCTTCGGAAATACGGTACATATTTTTTACGTAATTGCAACTAACGTGACATGGATTTACAAAGATTGAGACCGTGCAAATATTTCTGACATTACAATTTCTTTGTAGTTCTCCAAATTCCGTTTTCATTGAATTTTCCCATTATTATAGGAGTTTTTTATTTTCGTTGTTCACATTGTTGTTATATTCGTTTAAGGCATGCCACTTACTTGCACTGTTCAAAAGATCGTGTCATTATGTATTACGCCATGTTAGACTAGCACAATCTTTAGTGGTCCGTCTTGAGATTTGACTTAACATGTTAATGTACTATAACGCCGAAGCGAAAAGGTTAACTGATACTTTCCAAATCGTACCGGTTTTCTCAATGTATCGTTGTCTATAATTACAGGTATAATACCAACTGGTACGAAACGTCTATACCAACGCAGAAATTGTTGCAGCTGATCATATTGAATAGTAACAGAGGTTTTAAGTTCAGTGTCCTAAGTGTTTATGTTCCGTCGGTCGAAGGCTTTGCAATGGTATGCTTAATACATATTACAACTCCGAAAAACAATATTTCATGTTGAATCTTCGTTTTTCAGCTTTTAAAGGCATCGGTATCCTACTTTACTGCTCTACTATCTTTACAGTAAACCTTCTGATTACTTGATAAAACAAAAATATGAATTAGTTGTTCTTCTATTTTGTGGTGCGTCATTATTTATCATTTGCAACCTTAATGTTTATTATATACCTACTAAAATTTAATTAACGAATCTCATTAACCAAGTCATCTGCGTTCCTCCTTTGTTTCCATTGCTTTTAACTGAACCCCCTTATCTTAACTGTTCGTAGTGTAATTGTAATATAATATGAATGCGTACACTTACATCACCTTCTCCAGTCTTCGTAAGACATCACACAAATCACTTGTCTGCGTATGAACCTGTGCTCTGCTTTCGGAGGACATGAACCAACGGAGGGTAATCGAAGAGTATCTTCAGTCGTAAGTTCGTATTGCATAATCTTTGTTCGTTTGTTAAAAATATATTTGTTGTTAAGTGACTGTTAAGTAAACTGACTTTTTTCATCCACACCCACCCACGTCCTTGCTGCTATATTAGAAGTAGAATTACAATGCAACATAAATTGCAGTGTTTGCATCGTGTTCACCGGCCACCCTAACATATCACAGTCAACTAAAAACTGTTATAATACAAACTTTTTCTCCGGCGGATGCAAACTGACTGAGATCAATCGAACAGTATCCTCCCACGTAAGCTCATATTGCATAGAAATATAAATATTTAACTTTGCTCAGAAAACTTTCTTCTCTCGCTGTTTCTTTTACACTATCATTTTTTAATGACTTTATTACATCACCATGCTACAGCTACCACGCACCCTACCTGCGTATGAATGCTCAGAAAACTTTCTTCTCCCGGCTTTTCTTTTACCCATAATCGTGCAACCTGTCAATCACTTTGTTGCATCCAAAGAATTTTTGTCATATTTTACTGAAAAGTCCTTCTAAGAGCTAATATTTGCGGAAAAATGAAGTGTAATGGAGGGTGCATTGGTATCTTGGAGATTAAAAGCATTTGATCCACCGAACGCGATGGCAGAAATGAATAGCTATTACAAGTGGTGTATGTTCTTTTTGTTGATAATAGGACTTTGGCCGCACAGTACAAAGAAATTTCGGCTCTTACATAATGGCATCATCAGCTTCGTTACTTGTTTATCTGTAATTTGCCAGGTATAGGTTATCAAAATTTATTTGAAATTAGATTTAAGTATTATTTGGTACGTTTATGAAAATTTTCTGACATTTTTCGACCTACATTTAACAAACTTAATGTCTTTCTTAGTTTGCAGTTTTCTTCATTGCAGACAGAAGTCTGTTTCAGCAACTTAGAGACATATCAATTGCAGCAATGACAATAGTCGTGTTTACAAAATACCACACATTCTGGTATCACATCAACGACGTAAGTCACATAATGGGATTGAATTCACGTTTACGAAACATTCATATAAATATTATTATCAAATCCAGTTAAAAGCATTTCTAGATGAAGTCAGACTAGATTGGGAGACGAATAACGTCGAGGTACTTCGAATTATGCAGATCCACGCGTTTCATGGAAAACGTCTCGTAATATATTTTGCAGGTAAGTATAATCTTAAAAAGTTTGTAATTTCGATATTGTTTCAGCTTATTTAAAATGTGTTACAGCATTCTTTTATCCAGGAATGTTTATATTAATACTATACCATATTTCACCCATTATTTTGGATATAATTGTGCCCTTAAATGAATCTCGCCCACTTGAGTTTCCAATTCACATCGAATTCTTCATTGAAAAAAAACAACATCCTATTTTGAACATCAGTCTGGTTTATCTAGCGATAATCATGGATATAACCATACTGGTTGGAACAGAATCAATCATGATTATGTTCAGCTTGCATGTCGCTGGTTCATTTGGTATTGCAAGGTTAGCCTGAAATATACTGTATTATTACCCATAAAATGCACGTACTTCTAAATCCATTCAAACAAAGATTTTTTCAAGTATACGAGAATGTTTGTAGCGAGAGTGTGTTCATTTTTAATAATTGTGTCTCTTATTCTGCAACGAATTAGACCACGTTGTTCAATCCATTCCAAAAATTGTATCGATTACTTCTTTTCTCGGTTACCCATTCACTAAAACTTCAAATTGTGCGTTCGCAATTATTTAATGTAAATGAAAATAAGAATGCATACAGGGTATCCACGCCTAAGTGTAACAGCCGATATTTCATGAACTATTGATGACCCGAAAAACTTTTTATATGGAAATTGAAGGGTAAAAGGGGCTATATGTTTTAGCGTAAACAAAATTTTTTAATGTTATTAATGGAAAAGATATGATGGTGAAGCTTCGTTTTTTAAATGCAACTATTTTTTTTTCGATCAGTCGATAATACTTTTCAAGACGAATTCATTAAGATTTAATGTATTTACCTGATTTTTATTAGTTTTCGAGATATAACGCTTAGGAATTTACTAGTTTTCATTGTTAGGCGTGGACACCCTGTATGGCTATATCAAGTGATTTTAAATTCTCATCTGTACTTAACCTGTACTATCTATAGCACATTTTTTAAAATGTTCACATCTTCCATTCTCAGTTATTATTTCAAAACAGCCGTCCTTGCGGAATCCGTAGCATCGCTTCATCCACGAAACAATACAAATAACGAAACTATTAGTTACATAGCTACTGGTGTATTTTTTCATCGACGGGCTATTCAGTAAGCACTTACTAATAGGTTGGCCTACTACACTTTTAAAGTCTGCATTTCATGTATTCACCACGATATTCCGCGTAATTAATATGTTTATCCTTGAAGGAATTTGTATGAGGGAAGCGAAAAAAGTAAAGTGTCATACAGTATCCTCACCATACTGGGTATGATTGTTATGAGCATTAGTTTGTTTTGCGTGAGTAATTTATGCACAGTTTATCAATTGACATAAACATTATTCTCTTGCCTAAAAACAAACGTAATATAATTTTCGAATTATTTTGTGTGTTCAAGCTTTCTGTGACAGTGCTTCAGTTATCAGATATCAGGGAGACTTTATTCTCTGCCGTGGTACTGACTGCTTCACTTGGATACTTCTTTTGGTTAAACGTTGCAGTCGAATACATGATTGACAGCGCTAGCAGCATCTCTCTAACAACGTAAATGTCTTGGAATATTATGTGTACTAAACTTTTCCTGCTGACTTTTAACGTGTTGATCGCTAAGTAGTTGTTGAGTGTAGAAATGCAAAAATCCTAAATTTAGTTTAATCGTTGGCATTATTTTCGTAGTTTTGTGTTGTTTTAATTATTTGTTATAATAAGAAAAGCAATTTCAGTTTGTCATGCATTTATACACATCTTTGCATATCTTTAAGTTCAAAAAGACATGTAAGGGAGCAAATGAAGATCTGAGAGAAAGGTAGAGTATTGGAAAATTCGCGTTTAATTGGCAACCTGGACGGTAATCTCTTTGCATGCACAGGGACGCTTTTGCGAACCTGGGGCCGTTCAGGCCGTGGCTAGGGAGGACGTTCATGACGGACCCCTGAGGCCTCCATCGACCCCGATTTGGACTATGGTTGCATCTGGTGAGGTTCCGCGGACCCATGTTTAAAATTACCCATGTAATTTTTCCGAGACGTTCAGGCTGGTCCTAAGAATAACTTGGGGTGGGAGGCTTCTCCTCCCCCCGAGTTGGGCGCCTTCAGCGCAAATCGGCTGGCGGGTGGTGGCGTCGTTTATGCGTCGGGTCCCATCACCCGTCAAAGCCGTAGAGAGTGGGCATCACCGAGGGGTTTTAGTGAGTAAGAATCTCACACTGCCCCCGCTCTTCCTCCGGGGTGTGGGGGGGTCTATGAAGATTTCCCCTCGTATAAAAAAAAAAAAAAATGGTCCTAAGAATAAAGCCGGCAGGTATTCGCAAATGTGTAGGCCGGAGTGGGGGAAGGGCCACGTGATAACGCGTGGTTCGAGCCGCTACGGCTTATCAGTTGCGAGCACTCTTTCGTGGACCGTCCTTTCGGTCGGTTGTTCATTGCGCTCCACGTTACAAATTGTCACTTAGAATTTAGCTATTATATATTTCGTTAATAATATAAAGCCATTCCTTTTGAGTTGAATTAAATGTTACATTGAAATTTGTTTTGCAATTTTGTTCTTTATTTGTTATAAATAATTCGATTTTGTTTCGCAATACATAATAATTAATTCCTTGCCTTCGTTATTTGTTTTTTGTTATTTATATCCCTAACAGTAGCCATATTATAGTAATACACGTCTTTACATTTAAATGTGGCACTATTTTTACCAAAATCTCTCTGATCCACTAATAACTAGTTAGAGTTGCAGACAAATTTATTTCGAGGATTTGTAGATATTGCTGTTTAACATTGCAGAACAAATTGTTGATATGTTTCTATAAACCCGTATCTTGATATGTAACTGAAAATATTAATGAACTGTATTGAAGTGTATTTTTTTTAACTAACACCCTTTTAGTCGTACCAGATTTCATTCAACATAGCAATATGTCTTTGTTTTTATTCACAGGTATAGTTCCGACTGGTACGAAACGTCTGTAGCAACGCAAAAATTATTGCAGATTATTATACTGAAAAGCAACAAAAGCGTCTCATTCAACTTTTTCTCCGTCATTAGTCCGTCAATCGCAAATTTCGCAGTGGTATGTCAGTACTATCGTCTCCTAAAAATAATATTCTCTATTGAATCCTTATTTTTCAGCTTTTAAAAGCGGCAGTATCCTACTTTACTGTGTTGCTGTCATTACAGTGACTCTACTTGTTGTATGATAAAATAAAAATGGTATTTGACAATTTACTTGCATCCGTCTTTGACATGGATAAATAATCCCAAAATTATTGAGCCTGATAATCAATTTGCTGCGGCCAAAAATTACTACTCCTTATTTTGTAAAGAAGTCAAATTAGGAGGTTTTGAATTTTTTCAAAAAAAAAAATAGAAAATACAGTGTAAGTAATCAAATTATTCTTTGATTAAAAAATGAATACGAATATTTCCGATAATAGTATCCAATAATAATATTAATAATAAAGAGTATTTTGTTTTAATTAGGATAGTAATAATATTTTATTATGCGCAAATATTTAACAGTTTATAGTAGCAGCAAGTTAAAATATATTCTTGTAATTAAAAATAAATAATTGGAAATAAATATATCACGCAAATAATTAACAGAAAGGAATTATCTATACCATTAAATTTCTAATCTCAAATTGTTTATCGTTTCATTCCAATAAAATAATGTAAATAAAAAAATTATTTGGAAATATCTTACTGGTATTAAACACAGAATAAAATTATCTTTGTCACATCACTTATATAATAAAAATAACAATATATTTGAAACAATAAGTTATTTGTTAATGAATTGTTAATTATTTGTCATTTTACTAGATATAAAATTTTCCCAATCTGAATATGTGAAAAACTTACAATATTTTCAAAACTATGGTGCTACTATTAAAACGCCTCGAATAAAACCAATAATATAAAAAATTAATTGTGGTTATTGATTTTAGCATGCTTCGTGTACTCACTTTTAATGTAACAATCAACGTGTTAATGTAACACTTGGAATTTTTGACTTTCAAATTCTTCACATTATCATAGTGAAATGTGTAATCATATCAGACACGCACACTAATTAACACAATTAACTTTTTCAGAAAATTTTCTTCTACCGTTTCTTTTATCCTGTTGTTTTCTTAATATGTAACACTATTATACCACCACGCTACAGTTACTAACCATGTTACTCGTATCCTACTTTCCTATGTATGTTAGATAATTTTCTAAAAGGTGATCAGTTCTCGATTTAGGTGCAGGGGTAAGTGCCACGTATCACAACAAATATGTATTGTCATCGTGACAGTTAACGTATTAATACATATAACATTCCTCACTCTCGAATTACAAGTCTTTCTTACGTTCAGGAAATTAAAATATATTAGACACACTAATGAGCATAATTACGATTTCGATATGTTTCATAACAGATACCTATCGCCGCCGTAGCAGTCAACGCGTAAACACAACGGTTCACTAGAATTTTACATTTTTGACACCATAAAGGTTGCACATCCTCAAACACTGCTATATATTAAAATACAGACACTTGCACTGATAAACAATATTCAAAATCCAGTGAATTGCAATAAAAAAGCGGCAGCGACGCACAGTACGTTCTTTCCCTTCGAAGAACCGACGCCGACTGAGCCTGGAAGGGGGTAGCAACCCTCGTACAAACACCGTATCCAAGGGGTACGTAGACTCGGTTGCTACGAAACTATAAGTTAATGATACGGGGCGGTTAAGACACGTGAAAAACGTACAAAAAGAAAATAGCGTTTTCCCGGGGGTATTGAACTTGATGCATCTTCTACTGCCTTCGATTCTCCGCAGGAATATTCAATACAATTACCTCCTTACTTTAACGATTTTTGAACCGTGTAACTGTGTTTGTTACTGGTCGAAGTAATTGCGAAAGATATATGTAAGTTGTATGACATTCATACAAAATATTGATATGGAGATGGGGAGATGGAGGATGTAGAAATAGGAGAATATAAGAATAAAGAGAATATAGAGATGCGAAAGATTTGGCGAATGCAAGGATACATTGGAAATCGGAATATGAGGGATATGGGGATATGGGTGCTTTTGAGTTTCAGTTTATTTTTTTCAAGGAAGATGGCGTGTGGCTAAATTCGCCACCCATTCTAGTATATGTATACAAGATTACAATCTTATAACATCTTATACCTCATAATTACATCGCGGTACATTCAAATTCGTATGCTTCGAAATTCGTAAGTTCACATTCTATCTTATATCTAAATAAACACTATCTCATATCTATCTGGTGCTTGAGAATTTAAAAAGCTTAGGGATAGGGAGAATTAAGGATACATGGAATTTAGTGAGAGGGGGAACTTAAGAGTAAAATAGTGGAAGAATTTGGGTGTATATGAATGTGATAAACTAGAGATATACATATATGTAGAGTAATAAGGATCTAATAATACACTGCACAAAAAAAAATTTAGCATGGAAAAAGTCTTCGCAGAAATTGGCCAAGTTTGACTGACGGTAACTCCACCAAAAATCACCGTAAAATTATGTTTCTGTTTTTGTAATTGAAGCTTGAAATCTGTAGTTTAAGATACTATTAGATTTGATTTCATAAGTAGTGCATCCGTATCACTGCAACACCTTAAAAGCGAGGGCGTATTTGTATTTTACAAGTAGGTAAAGTCTTATATACAGCAAGGGAAGTTATAATTTGTAAAATGAAGAACACACCTGACTTCATTGATTTACAAAAATTTATTATTCTTTCACATATTTGCATACATATCGTTCGCATTTACACATTTAACTTTAACATATATATATACAGACTTTAACGTTCATTTATGCACTCACTCGCGCAGCACACGAAACCTCATACTGAAAATGCCAACTGACAAATTGTAAGCAGGCTTGCAATAATTAGAATGAACATTTGATTTCAAATGTCCATTGAATATTTTGCACCTAAATGTTATGTGCTCTTTTGTCATTTATGTGATTCTGTTCAATATGGTAATGAAAAAATATTGAACAGAATATTAATTTAATTTAAATACGTGTTTGTGAGCGAACTTATTTTTATTAAACTAACATTCAATATTAATAAGTTCTTTATAAGCAAAATAATTTAATATTTTGCACAAAGTAATCTATTTGCTCAACTAGTTATTTAAATATCAGGTCAGTCCATAAATAATTTTGATTGTATTTACAATTTCAGTGTATTAAATACGTTATTAAAATACGTTCTAGAAAATAATGAAAAATATGTGAATCTTTATATTTTACAGCTGTATGAAGTTTTTCAATAATTTGTGTTTTTTTTTATTTGAAAAAGTTTTTTCATTTCGATTAATCTTTGATTTTAATTTTATCATGAATTTGATTTCATTTTTGATTCTTTCAGTAAAATTCAGTATATGAATTTTGTGCCTTCAATAAAGATATGTTTCTAAAATTGAGTTGCTAAAATTTTACATGACGCAAATACTAAATTTGCAGAATGATTACTTATGGAATGATCTAATAATTATTATATTAAATATTTCGATCACCAGTGACCGGCGTTGAACTAACCCTTCTTCGGATTTCCAAATTGACGAGAATACACAATTTGCTGTGGCCATTATTCCGTTTAAGTACCATTTCACCGAATTAATAAATGCAAACTATTTAATTTGCAGCTGAAACTTGCTGAGATAATAGAGGATTATCTGCACAAGTGTTCAAACACACTTACATTATATTACTATCTTTACTTGCCACGGAAAGCTCTGTAAAGAGGAGAAAACTATTGTACAAGTATTTTGCTATAGTTTGGCAATATAACGAGAGTCAATATAACGAAAGTGTGTAATTCTATAAAGCGTGTACGGTTTAAATTTTTTAACTAATCCAAAGAAGGATTAATAAAAGTGAATAAAGAAGTTTTTAAGTAGAATTGTAGCAATATTAATTTAGTAAAATATCAAGTAGAAAATTGAAATTGTAAAATGGTGGATAAAGCGTGATATCGCACATGTGATTTACTGTGACGTTCAAGAAATTATTAAATCAAGAAAGAAATAATGAAAGCTGTCTTTTGCTCTACGTTCAACAACGTTGTACAACGAATTTGTTAGACGAACGATATTTGTGATGTTTAGGAAAATAGCTTGGAATGATCGTCCGTTGCACGTTGTAATAAGCGTAGAATATTTACTCTTCATCTCTTGTACTCTTTCGTCTTCGTATCGGGACACGTTCAACTCTTCTTTTTTGGGAGAACGAAGGCCAGCAATCCTCCAACTGGAAATAATTGAGTAAGTAATTAAAAATTTTGTATACAATCTTGCGTGCAGCTTTTTTGCGATTAGTTATTAACCTTCGAACGAAATGGTGTCAGTAACCCAGATATGTACAACCGTGTTTAGATTGGATATTAGGCACTCGAATTTTTAAACGAAAGACTTTCATGCATACAAATAATAGTAAATGAAGAAGCAGTTTTAAATTTTTTTTCAATGAAAGGAAAATTTAGTATTAAATTATGTACAATCTAATATTATATTTAAATTGTTACAAAAATTTGTGTAATTTGCACAATTTAAATTTGATGAATTATGTCAATTTTTACTGCAACAATTTTATACATAATTTGTACATTTTGTATATAAATTTATATAAAGTTTGTAATTAAATAGTTTCGTCTAAATTTTGTTTAAGGTTAGTTCACTGTTACCCTGTCGTTCAAGGGTTAATTGTAGATTTTTGTGTGACAATAAATGCGAACATGATTTATTATGAAAGACAATAATAAAAAAAATTCTACATACAGAGAAAAATTTTCGAAAAATTCAAAAAGAGATATTTTTAAAAAACAAGAATAGAATATTTCATATTATAAATTCTTGATATAAGAAATATTTCTTACTAAAGCGTGTTGCATTCAACCTAATTAATTTACATTTTAACTCCATGATTTATATAAAATTTGCACAATATTAAAAAATATCAGTGACGCACCTTATGCGTCCTACACTGTCTAATCGACATACCATATGTGTCTTGTACAAAAATTAACATATAAGGAATAAAGTGTAAACAAAATTATTTATCTACATTCAATTTCATGATTTATATAAACTTTGTTCAATAAAAAACAATAATGACGCATCACGTGCGTCTCCATTATACAACTGTTGACACACCACATGCGTCTTATAAAGAAATTATAAATAACAAAGTTTATAAAGAATTATTTACCTAAAGTTGATTTTCTGTTTCATATGAATTTTGCATAATAATACAAAGGACGTACAATTTGCGTCCTACAAAGATAAATAATGAAATTTGAAAAATATTTTACTTTTGTACTTTACTTGTGTACTTTACTTTTTATTTTGTGATGCACGTAAGCTTTGCATAATAAATAAAAATACTAAAGACGCACATGGTGCAACCTATAGTTTATTATTTGAATAAATTATGTTTAACTGAAAATTGATGCTTGTTTGAAAATAAATTAAAAATCGAGTTTGCATTTAATATAGTGTGAAACATACTGTCATCGAATGTGTTAAAATCAGAAATTAACGAAGTGTCAATACTTACGGATGACTATACTGCCAACCAAGAAAATTGGAACCTCGCAGCTGATATCGAGCAACAATCCGAAAGCTAAATTACTAGCAATGGCGCCGATTCTGCCGAAACATGTCATCATACAAATGGCGACGGCGCCTACGTGTGTTGGAAATATGTCGACCACGATGCTGCTAATGACGAAATTCGCCGTGACTATCATTAACGAGAACATACAGCTCACCATCAGAATTTGCAAGGAAGACGTAACGAAATAAATCAAGAAACCAAAGATGCCAGCCAACAACATTGTCGTCACTGAAAAGAATAATATATACAATTAGAACGTTGGGAGCTTGAATCATTTCTGAGTACGTATTAGTATTATTAGGATTACTATTAATTTTAAAGTAGTATGAAAGTCGAATTTTCTAAACTTTTGATATTAGTTTGACAACTTTGGAATTAGTGAGTTTTGTAATTTTTTAATTTTCAGACTTGAGGGTTTTGGGAGTTTAAACTTTCAGGAGTTTGGCATTTCGGGACTTTGGGAATTTGGGGATTTGTTGTTATGGAATTTTGGAAATTTGGGAATTTGGGTATTTATCATTTTGAGAATTCAAGAATTTGTCATTTTTAGAATTTGGAACTTTAGAATTTTAGAACTATGACTATTTGAAGCTTTAAAATTTTAGAACTTTGGTCATTTGGAAAATTTAGAGTTTTACAATTTTGGTAATTTGAAGGTTTGGAATTTTGGAACTTTGGTAATTTGGAGCTTTAGAATTTTACAACTTTGGTAATTTGAAAAATTTATAAATTTACAATTTTGGTTATTTGGAACTTTAGAATTTCAGAACTTTGGTAATTTGGAACTACAGAATTTTAGAATATTGGTAATTTGGAAAATTTAGAAATTTACAATTTTGTAATTTGAAGTTTTAGAATTTTAGAACTTTGGTAACTTGGGACTTCAGAATTTTTGGACAATGACAATCTGGGATGTTAAGATTTGAAGACTTTGAGAATTTGGTATTCTAGGACTTTGAAGCTTTAGAGTTTTAGAAGTTTAAGACTTAGGAACCTTGAAAATTTGCAATTTTAGAGACTTAGGAAGATCTAGAAAGTTAGAGATTTTGAAGACTTGAGATTTTAGAACTTTAGGTATTTGGAAATGTCATACTTTGGAACCTTGAGACTTTAAAACTTTGGGATATTGAAACTTTAATACTTCAGGCTTTAAAAGTTTGAAACCCTGTTACTTTGAGAATTTGATAACCCCTTAGCCTACAAGTTTTTCAGCAGGTTCATTCAGAGCCTAATACTGCAGCGTTAAAGTAAATAAAGAATATTGAAACGTTAGGTATACTTTGGATTTACCAGTCCTTAATCTTTAATCATACCAACTGCAATTGGTATCAAAACTCGATTTTCATGCAAATACGATTTAGCTTTATCACATTTGAATTGTAACGTCACGAGTCTAATTCGATGGGTGCTAAGGGTTAATTTGAAATTTTTGGAATCTAGAACTTTGTGTCCCATGGTTTATGAAAACTTGCAGCTTTAAAAAAGGAGTCAAGCAGGACTTCAATTTGAATATTTGAAATTTACCTGGGATAGTTCTTCTGCCAACACGATTTGCCAAATAACCGGACACGATATTTCCAAGCAAACAGAAAGCATTGATGGTTAACGAGTTAATGAACACCATCTGATCCATGTTGGGAGAGCACTCTTTCACGATACTCGTGGAATCGATTAAAATATTTTTTGCAACTGTTGCTGTAGGTTGTAGATTTGTTTCGTGCATTAATTTACAAACGCTGACTGTTCTGTTCGGATGTAAGTTATGGTAGTTCTCGAAACGGTTGAACAGTTCTGGTAGCCACAAACCGAAACCATAGTATCTGTAAATAATCAGTTCTATTTTATTATTACTCATTCAATTGTGTTTACTAAAATAAATCTACATGACGTAATTTTATATAAACGTATTTATTAAATAATCGGATTTATAAATAATTGGGTTGTATGTGATAATAAATTCATAAAATTGTTGAACATATTTAAATTTTAATAGATTTAGGAGTACAAATGTGGAAAGTGTGGAAATTGTGATACTCTTACTTTTTGAAGAAAGGAATATTGAAAATCGTTTTAAATGTTAATTGGTTGCAGTGAATCGTAAATATTTGTTGCAAAATAACATTATTATAAATTATCAGAAAAATGTTTGGCTGTTTTATTTTTATATGATACTATAAACTTTATTATGTTTTTTATATTTTTTATATCTAAAATCAAAAACATTTTAAATTTTGTGTTATATTTTTGTTATGTATGAAGTTAAAATTTTACATTTTGAATTAATATATTTTTTATGAATTTATAATACATTTTATATTTTATATACATAAAATCAAAATGTATTTTAAATTATATATTATATCTTTTGTACACAAGGTGACGATTCATTTTAAATATTTTTATTTATGACTCATATTCTATTAACTGCAAACTTTTCAAAATACAGTGCAAACTCTCGTTACACAATCTCTTAAATTTTGAAAAAAAAAAGTTCTCAATTATTGAAAATATTTATTAGTATTATAAATACTTTATAAAAACGTTATGTAATTTGTAATAAGTTATGAAAAACTTACCCAAACATGTTCGCGAAATAAATGGACCAACACAGGAGTGCATATTTCAAAAGCGGTGGTGATGCAAGGCAACGCATTTGTTGCCAAATATTCTTCAATAATCCCATTAATACACTGTCTTTATTGGATCCTGCCTTGTTGGTAACATTCATCGTATCATCAGGTAACAATATTTTCACCTAAACAAAACAGATAACCATTCTCATTGTTAATTAAAAGACTACGTGCTTATTTACAATTTTATTATTAGAACGAACGATATAAAATTATTATGAAGTTTCACTGTTATCTATTTCCAATATTATATTTTAACGTTATAATAAATAAGAAACGGAAAATTTGTATAGTCGTTGTATAATAGTTGGGTAGGAAAAAAATAAATCTTCAATTGAAAAGTATAAATTAAATTAAAAATAATTAAAGAATAAAATAACTTGTGGAAAATTTGAAGAGTAATATAAATATCAAGGTATTTAAACTATTAGATAAAAATGTATATAATAATAATTTATAAAAATGCAGGTATAAGAAATATTGATGAAAAATAATTATTATTTTAGATGAAGCAAAGGACACGTAATCAAATGTGGTTACTAATAATTTAAGAAGGTGCATGTGACCTTAACCCCTTCCCGTGCCATTTATTTAACAGATGCGACAGTCAAGACTAACTATTCAGGGCTATAACATTAAAACGAACAAAGAAAATTAAAATGTTGTAACTATTTTATATTCAGGGATCCTTGTAATGTAACTTATAGCTGGACCTAAATTTCAAGTTAAAGAGTATTCAAAATTTGAGTAAGGTTTGTCACATTTGAACTGCAAGTGCGTCATGAGTGAGACTCGTCAAAACGCGGGAAGGGGTTAAGCATTCAATTAAAAAAGAAAAAAAAGAAGTGTACACGTCATTCATTATACTTACGGGATACTCGTCTTCGTGGTGTCCGGTGTTTATCGCATAGATTTTTCGCAAAATGGCCAACGCCTCCTCTGTTTTACCTTGAGAGACGAGAAATTTCGGACTTTCAGGATATCTGGTAGCTATCAAAGTTATTAATAATGTTGGTATTCCAATAACGGCTAAAAAGAGACGCCAAGAGTTATAAAGTATCCCACTAAATTGATATGAAATCGGTAGTGGTATAATAATCCAAGCTAAACCTAAAGGAAAGAACAAAAATAAAAATGCATATTAATTTTTCCATCATTTTTTGTAAACGTTAATATATAAATTATATGTAAATTGTATGCAACAAATTGTAAGTTACGATAATTAGTGGTTAATTGATGCTACAAATTCGGTTTAATTAAATAATAAAAAATTGGAGAGAAAATTATTAATATTCAATTAATGATATATAGATCATTATTAATTAGGTGTTTCTATATCCATCAACTTTTACTGGAATATATCATAGTATTTACTTATTATTGTATTTTTACAAACTTTTTTTATTATTTATGCTAAAATTAATGTTATGTATTTACATAGTATTGTGTTGAATATTGCAGCGAAGAAATTATAAGTTAAAAATTTACGTACAGTTATTTTATACAATAATACTGAAACAAACTATACGACGGTAAAAAATGATATAGAAAATATAAAAGTAATAGAAGAACGTTAATTAAGTAATATTAATCTGACTTAAATAACTGATGAAATAATATTAATCTAAATTAAACAATGAATGAAATAATATTAATTTGAATTAAGTTACGAGTTAAATAATAAAAATTTGAAATAAATAATTAAATAATACTAGTGTGAAGCGAATAGTTAAGTAAGTAATATTTGCTAGATTATTTTGCCTAAGAAACAAACAACTTACCAGGCAATATTAGCCACGACAGTGTCCAGAAGAAACCAACGTAACATATAGTTTTCACTCTTTGTTTCTCCGCATGAAATTCACCGAGGTACGAATAGACTAGAGAACCCGGAGCACCAATGCTAAAATAATAAAAAATTGCGTTACGGTTAAGAAATGATTCATTGATTGAAATGATCAATTATTACAAATAACGTAATAAGTGACCAATTAATAATTCATGTACATATTATTATAATATATTCATACTATTTAATTCGATTAATTTATGTACTCACAAAAAACCACTGAGTGCTCTGAAAATTAACAAAACATTGAAACTCTGAGAGAAACTGCCTCCAATTGATAAAAGGCTATCACTGAATAAAGTTACGAGAAGAATGTATCTTCTGCCATAAGCGTCTGCGAACACTCCCCAAAGTAGGGAGCTTACAACTCCACCTGAAAGAAAATAATGTAATATTAATTGTACAGGTAATTAAACATGGAAATAATAGTGATAATAACTAAAATTATTTTACAAAATAACAAATTTTAACTTATTTTATATTTTTCAAAATAACAATAGAAGATAAATATCACAGAAAACGAACTTTTTAATTCGAGTAATTTTTAAATCTAAACTTATTTTGCATATTTATTTTTCATTGCATTTTATCTTTTTTTAAATTTGTTTCTGAAAAATTTAATGAGAAATTTAATTAGATTTGTTCATACATACGACATTAAAATTTGCTCATTTCCACTTTTCTAACTAGAAAATTCATTTAAAGCACAATTGAAAGAGACACACAATGAGTTAATTCAACTCTCACTTTACCTCGTGCTTTTACTTTTAAGCCATTAAACAATAACCACGGTGGATACTCTTCTAACGATAAAGTTAATCGACTTTAATCGCGCAAACGGCGAGTAGGATGTTATATAAAAACTGGTCTTCAATTTTGCTAATGAAATAAGTGCTGTCGAACGTGTCCGATATGTTACAATAAATGTTCACTGCTAATTGAAACAACTCTATATCTTTACAGAACAAACTAAAAAATAAACTTTTCATAATGTATTTTCGCTATCACTTTTCATGTAGAGAACATATTTGAATCATATTTTGTTTACGATTAAAAACTATTGAGACGCGTTTCTTAACGACTTTTCTTATTTTTACTAATTGAATATTTTAATACTTTATTTTGTAATTATTAGTACTATGAAATACAGTTATATATTTAGGCATTTACATGTTTATAACCAATCTCATTTTTAATTAAAAGAATATGTGCTTATTTACAATTTTATTGTTAGAATGAACGATATAAAATTATTATTAAGTTCTACTGTTATCTATTTCCAATATTATATTTTAACGTTGTATATTTCTATATTTATCTATTTGTATATTTCTATATTTATGTACTTATATATTTATATATCTACATATTTATATTCATATATTTATTATAAATATGAAATTAAAAATACATATATGGTCAATCGAAATAATTTAATATGCAAGCATATCATTGACTTAAATAATATTTTTTTTATACATAGTATTGTACAATATTGTTTCAGACCATTGAAATAGAGTGAAATATAATAATCTAGTCATGTAATAGAAAGTAAGTATGTTTTCAGATAAAATTAAACAGATCTTTAAACTTACCTAATAGGAAGGCGACATTTAAGAGTCCTTTTTGTTCGGATGTCAACTTGAGATCGCATTCCGCAGAAGGCAAAATGTATGCGTTTATGCCATTTTGACATCCAACGCAGAGAAACATTATTCCACACAGCAGCAAGAAACCATAGTGAAACTTTCCGTATCCTGAAATATTTTAATGTATTATGAAAAAATCATGCAAGTACCATAAAGTATTAATTATTATAATAAAGTATTAATACATATATCCAAGTATCAAGATACATATGGATATGTATCTTGCTTATGTTAATGTAATAATATATATATTAAGGTAATTATATGTATAATAGTATAAATTATAAATTATCATTTTATATATCTTTCACTAATATTATATAGTTATAATAGTATATAATAATAATATTATAATAATTTTAATAGTTATTAATAAACTTCTTATTTAATTATTAAATAGTTTTCAAGTATAAAAATTTAAACAAGTCTTCGTTTAATTAAAATGTCAATTCGAAGTCTAAAATATTTCTTTTCTGGAATATTGTTTGAAAAAATAGTTAAAAAATCTCGAGTTACACAAATAATAATTTAGTATAATTTCTGACTTTTAACGTAAGCAGTTTTTTCATCTTTTCTTAAAAAAACAATACATTTAATTAAATAAAAGGAATTCTTACCGCAAAGTGTAATTGCCTTCTCAAAATCTGCAGTCCCTTCTTTAGCACCATTATTTTCTGAAATCAGAATGCATTTATGTTAACTATAATTATTTCAATAAATACCTACATAAACTTAAACAAATAAATATTTAAAGAAATAAATTAAAGTCTTTATTTCGAATGCATCAATTCCAAAAATTGTAATTTTTATCTTGATTACATTAATCTGCAAAATTATTACAAATTAATTAATTCACACATTTATTTCGTAAACTTATTATCTATCAAAGTTATTGAATGAACGTATTTACACGTGATTGTTTATAATCAAACACGATAAATAAAGTGTAATGTTCCATTGAATGAAGGAAAAAATTCCATTTTACATTTCATCAGTAATGTAATAATTGCTGTAGAACGTTCATTCGATAAACTGAATATCAGTTTTTTTTTAATTGTTATTGAGATCTGTCCGACTGAAAGTTATGACGACCTCTCGACAGACAAATTCAATGGGCTTCATTTACTGTGCATTTACCATCAATTGCTGGTGTCATCTTGATTGTGCTAATAGTAATTAAAAACAACCTGGTGAAATAGGAAGAATTTAGCTTAATATTTTTCTGCGTTTTCGGTTGTATCTATTTTGGGAATTTTCTATTGATCTAATTTATTTATATATTCTAAATATAATTTTTATAATTTTATTTAATGATATACACTTCTGTTTATAAGTCACTTTATAAGTCAAGACTATTGAATAGAGTATAATTTTTAGTTTTGCAAATAAAATTTCTGGAGTATGAGTCAGAATTTGAAATGTGTTATGCTTTATCTCCTCTACTATCGTTCTTAAAACACATTTAATATTTTTGTATTTTTCATCATTTATTCCACAACCGTGATATTTTTGCACGAGGACGCCTCAAGAAAAATACAAATTTTATTTTTAGTCAAATATTAATATTTAAAATCAATAAATATGTGATTATGTGATTAATGATAAAAAATCGTGAAATTATTGCAAAAGAAAAATTGTAAGAGGTAATAATAATTAAAATGTTTTAATTTCATTTACCTTCAGTTTCTAATCTTTATATCATTTTTTCTATATTTATTGTTAAAACTGTAGATTATACTTTAATTGAAACATTATTTTATGTGTCATAATTTTTAGTGTAAACAAAATTGATATTTTCTCAAACTATGATAAATTTAATTTTTCAAAATAACTTAATATTTTGCTTTATTTAAAGACTTATTTTAATATTTACATTTATGAAAGACTATTTATTTAGATATTTTAATTCGTCAAAGACTATTTATTTTAATATTTTAATTCATAAAGACTATTCATCTCAATACTTCAATTTATCTAAAATAAAATTATTCGCGACACCCAAAAAATTAAAACTTCACACAATTCAATAATTTTTTTATCACATGATCATTTTAATAACATGTAATAATTTACAGGTTTCATAAATGAAAAATGGAATTTTTCGACGGAAAGAAGTAAGTAAAGAGAGCATGGTCAGAGGGAAGACTAACGTAGATAAAAAACTCTGTCTATCTGAGCATTTAGGGAAACAGCTTTGGGTGTGTCGTTATTATGATTGCGTGTGGTTTTCCATTCACCCAGTATGTTTCGTTCGTCCGTGCTTTTCCATTCTTCGAAACGAATCAAACCGAAAACATCTCAACAAGTTAAGCTTCGTATAATTTGTTTCTTGCAAGATCTTTTTTAATTACTAGTTCTATGCATTTTGGTCACGTTACCGAGATCGATTGTTAAAAAACGTTATTAATATTATTATTAAACGTTATTATTAAAAAACATTATTAATGTTATTATTAAACGTTATTATTAAAAAACATTATTAATGTTATTATTAAACGTTATTATTAAAAAACATTATTAATGTTATTATTAAACGTTATTATTAAAAAACATTATTAATGTTATTATTAAACGTTATTATTAAAAAACATTATTAATGTTATTATTAAACGTTATTATTAAAAAACATTATTAATGTTATTATTAAACGTTATTATTAAAAAACATTATTAATGTTATTATTAAACGTTATTATTAAAAAACATTATTAATGTTATTATTAAACGTTATTATTAAAAAACATTATTAATGTTATTATTAAACGTTATTATTAAAAAACATTATTAATGTTATTATTAAACGTTATTATTAAAAAACATTATTAATGTTATTATTAAACGTTATTATTAAAAAACATTATTAATGTTATTATTAAACGTTATTATTAAAAAACATTATTAATGTTATTATTAAACGTTATTATTAAAAAACATTATTAATGTTATTATTAAACGTTATTATTAAAAAACATTATTAATGTTATTATTAAACGTTATTATTAAAAAACATTATTAATGTTATTATTAAACGTTATTATTAAAAAACATTATTAATGTTATTATTAAACGTTATTATTAAAAAACATTATTAATGTTATTATTAAACGTTATTATTAAAAAATGTTATTAACGTTATTATTAAACGTTATTATTAAAAAAAATTATTAACATTATTATTAAAAAACACTACAAATAGTTATTAAAATAACATATGAATATATTATTCAAATTTATCTTAATCTACCCTAATTTTTCTTAACAAAGAAAATACACTGAAAGAATGAATGCATACAAAGTTAAATGCGGATATTTATAATGTAAAATAAATTAGCATGCAAGCATAGTAACTTGATCCTGTACAGTTTTTCAGGAGCGTTAGTCACAATTAACCGCCCATTATCATAGTAAATAATAATAAAGAAAAATACAAATAAAGAAGGTCGAGATGTTATGTCAATTTTGTATACAGTCTTAGCGTAAATTATAATTGAACAAACGATTATCGAGTAATCTTCACACACAAATTTTGTATAAGACAACAATAAATAATTCTATTCTATATCTTAAAATACAACAGTTATTCCAAAAATAACAAGTAACGTTTAACGTCAATATAACCTCTTGTTCAAAATATTTATTTTAAACTCCCCAAACATATTTTCAGTCTACAAGGAAATTATCGTTCTCATGTACCTTCGTTTTATTCTAAATTTATAGTTGAAGATTATTATTCGACCAGCAGCAAAAATAGCGTATTTATCAGTTTAAATTTTGAATTGAACGCCATTGTTTACAGAATAAAGAGACGGAGAGAGTAATCTGAGAAAAGAGAAAGATGCAGATAGCAACAGTTCGTGCAATTAGAATCATCAAGTAAATTAATCATATAAGTTGAATAATTAATTTAGTTCTGCTTCGAGTGTGTTAGTCAAAACATAAATAACTCGTGATTGACCAACAATGTTTGGCTAATTAAAAGAGAGGATATGTTGTTGCAAAATTGTATTGAATATGAACGATATTGTACAGAAGATGATTAAGAACTGATAAGAAGATGATTAAAAATTGTTTTCATGGTTTATCGAAAATTCGGAAATTGGGACTTACATAAGGAGACTTCAACGGTCTGTGACCCAGAATTATTATAGTTCGTGGAGTCTGAATCCGCGTCCTTATTATAGACGTTCAATGATAAATTCACTATTTTGATTCTAAATTTATCGATGATTCGATTCTGCTAGGATATAATTATGTTGGGATATAATTATGAAATAGGATTCTTTTAATGCTCATTTGAGATGTGTTGAATACTATGTGTGAGGTGTTTAGGATAGGTTGTTTGAAAGTGTTACTCATCGAAAATTGCAGCATCTAAATAGCAAATTACGAGTATTTAATTTTAGGATGAAACTTAAATGTTTTGATAGGAGGAAATATGTAGTTTGAAAATTTTTAAATATGGAAGTTTGATAATTTAGTAATTAAATTTAGTCATTTAAAAGTTTAGAGATTTAGCGATTTACAAATTTACAAGTTTACAAGTTTACAAGTTTACAAAGTTAGGAATTTAGAAATCGAGAAATCTTTTGATCTACAAATTTTGAAATTAAAAAATGGAGAAATTTATGAATTTAGAAATTGTGAAATTCCTAAATTTCTGTGAAAGAAACTAAGAAATTGAGAAATTGAGAAATTAAGAAATTGAGAAATTGAGAAACTGAAAAATTGAAAAATTGAAAAATTGAAAAATTGAAAAATTGAAAAATTGAAAAATTGAAAAATTGAAAAATTGAAAAATTGAAAAATTGAAAAATTGAAAAATTGAAAAATTGAAAAATTGAAAAATTGAAAAACTAGCAAACTGAAAAACTGAAAAACTGAAAAATTGAAAAATTGAAAAATTGAAAAATTGAAAAATTGAAAAATTGAAAAATTGAAGAATTGAAAAATTGAAAAATTGAAAAATTGAAAAATTGAAAAACTGGCAAACTGAAAAACTGAAAAATTGAAAATTAAGAAACTGAGAAGTTGGGTAACTGAAAAACTGAGAAATAGAGAAATTAAGAAATTAAGAAATTGAGAAATTGAGAAACTGAAAAATTGAAAAATTGAAAAATTGAAAAATTGAAAAATTGAAAAATTGAAAAATTGAAAAATTGAAAAATTGAAAAATTGAAAAATTGAAAAATTGAAAAATTGAAAAATTGAAAAATTGAAAAATTGAAAAATTGAAAAATTGAAAAATTGAAAAATTGAAAAATTGAAAAATTGAAAAATTGAAAAATTGAAAAATTGAAAAATTGAAAAATTGAAAAATTGAAAAATTGAAAAATTGAAAAATTGAAAAATTGAAAAATTGAAAAATTGAAAAATTGAAAAATTGAAAAATTGAAAAATTGAAAAATTGAAAAATTGAAAAATTGAAAAATTGAAAAATTGAAAAATTGAAAAATTGAAAAATTGAAAAATTGAAAAATTGAAAAATTGAAAAATTGAAAAATTGAAAAATTGAAAAATTGAAAAACTGAAGAACTGAGAAATTAAAAAATTAAGAAATAAAGTTGAAAGGAATTAAATTTTAAATTAATTGAAGAATCACTCCAAAAACCTAAAAATTTTTCTAAGTTCATTCACAAAAAATTAAGAACTTTTAAATTGAAAAATTGTCAACCAGC